TTTCATCGAGGTCTTGCTGAGATAGTGAGAACCGCGATTTCGTATTTAGTCGCAGCCTGTCGGGATCCTCCAATTCTTCTGAGGGTTGTTGTTTTAGATAGCGATCAGCAAGGTAACGTCTATCATCACCCATGGGGTCGGAGGAATAAGGAGATGAGGAGGTGGGGCGGGACCCGTTCATATAACCATGGCTACAGGGCTGGACAGACGCTAAGGAACACGCTAGACAGAACGCTGGCGCGCTACATGACTCGTTCAGCACCTCGTTCAAGCAGCGCCCATATTCGCTGCATGTTCGGCTGTGACAGTGCGTAAGAAGCACGCTAGGTGTGGGTACGTGTGCGCTAAGTGTTGGCTACATCTCAAGCCGACGAACATACAACGAATACCCACAGTGTGCCACGTGTGGTCTGTCGTTGGCCTCCAGCGCGCGCTCTGCGCGTGTCTGCGCGTCCTCTGGTTGTACATTCATGCGTCGAGCTGCGCGCACATTTTTTGCATGCACAAAAATCCGACGCACCGTACACGAATGACAACGAATGCATAGAGGTGGTCCAGCGCGCCTCGAACGTAACCGAGTAACGAATGCTGACGCACAACCCAGCGAAAGAGCAACGCAGTGTGGCCAAGATTTGCTAATTTCTCAGTGCGCGCGGGGCCGTGCGTCGTGTATTGTGGTGACTGGGCCATTATGGCGCAGTCACACATTACACGACGCACGGCCGACAATTACACGGCGCAAAAAAAAACACTCTACGCCGCGCACAATTACACGCGCACACTTACACGCGCACAATTACACGCGCACAATTACACGCGCACACTTACACGCGCACAATTACACGCGCACAATTACACGCGCACAATTACACGCGCACAATTACACGCGCACAATTACACGCGCACAATTACACGCGCACACTTACACGCGCGCAGGAGTAAGGATTACGTAATTCGGTGCGACTGCAGGTTGTATATTGTTGTAACAGTGTTATGTAAGTAAAGTTATTTTGTGATTTACGGAATCGGAAATCGGCACTGATAAGGCGACGTTATACCGGTTGTGGATACCAACCAGGTATGGCAACCAGCACACATAAAAACTAAGCTGTTTTATTTACTGTTTTTAGCAATTAATTCAGTGCAATGTGCCTTTATTATAATGAAGTACCTTATTAAATTGCTTACTGAATACCATTTCATAATTCCAAATGTTTTATAAGGTTACCTTGCATCAATATAAACTATTTTTTGGCAAAACTTGCCCGATAGGTGGCGCATAAAATTTAATTATCATTTAAAGAATCTTAATTAATTGTGAATACAAACATACATACATGCATAAAAATAGATGCATAACATACATACATAATCATCATCATGCAGCATGCAGCACCTCACGCACGCCGCACCACGCACGCACACACACACAGTGTAATCACACACACACACACACACAACATCACACACACACACTACACCAACACACCACACACCACACGACACAAAACACAACACACACACATACATACATACATACATAACCAATACATACATACACCATCATACCCTACAACAGACATACACACATACACACACACACAGACATACACACATAACACACACAACACTACACACATCACACACAACACACACAGACATACAACACGATACACACCCGACAACGACATACATACATACACACATACACACACACAGACATACACACATACACACACACACAGACATACACACATACACACACACAGACATACACACATACACACATACACAATCACACAGACATACACACATACACACATCACACACCACTACAGACATAACACCACATACACGCACACACAGAACATACACAATCAGTACCATCACACACTATCACACACTACACACCATTACACAGCAGCACTGGCACGCACGCCGCACCACGCACGTCACACACGAACTACACACATATCACACACACACATAGCGTGGTGACTGTGACGGTCAAGACCTGTGGCTTAATCATTCAGAAGGTGCATATATGACGGTGTGAACACTATACATACGTACGTCACGTATATAGAGATGATTGTATCCGTGCGTGTGCGCGCGCGGCGTGTGCGTGTGTTTGGGTGGCCGTGCGTGTGTGTGTGTGTGTGTGTTATGTGTGCGCGCATGGCGCTGCGTGTGTTGTGTGGGCTAGCGTGCGGTGTGTGCGCGGCTCGCGCGTCGTGTGTTGTGCGTGTGTAAGGAGAGAAACAGGACAGACAGCGACAGAGAGAGAGAAGAGAGAGAGAGAGAGAGAGAGAAGAGAGAGAGCAGAGAGAAGGAGAGAGAGACGAGAGAGAAGAGAGGAGAGAGCGAGAGAAGGAGAGCACGCGCACGTACCAACAATTCACTACAACATATATGCAACGCAACGCCGCGTAATATAAGCACATACACGGGCGGCACACACGCGCAATATACAAAGTCGCGCGCAACAACAGAAACATAA